TGTCAGGTTAAGTAGTTATGGGAGACTGAAACAAAGAGAGGGCTAACGAGCAGATAGGGAGCAGGTGTGAAGAGAACAGGAAAGGAGGTAGGGAAAAAAAGGAACACAAGAGGGCAGCAGAGGGCAACATTAAAAACCTGAAAACAACCAGAAAACACAATAAAATAAGAATAAAACAACTAAAACTAGAAAACATGGAACAAAGTAAAACAGAATACACAAAAGAAAACATAACAGAACCAGAACTATAATAGGAGTAGTTTTCGGTAATTCTTTTTCTTAAAGCTAATTAGGAAGAACATTCTTTCTTTTACGAGAACTGCATTCTTTGTTTTACGAGAACCCAGAAGCCCAGCGGCTTCAGCTCAGGTAAGCATATGCATTGAAGCGGCAATAGAAAGGGGGTTTCTGTTGTCTTTGGTGGGGGTTGTCTGATTGTTTACAGGACATGTGAAATCCACATGAAATTCATAAAAGTAAAACTTTTTATCTTCTTCTTCCAGAGGAGGGAGCTTCCTTTCATCCCTGTGACGACACCTACTGTGGGCCCTTTCCTGAATCGGAACCTGAAGTCAAAGCAGTCGCCAAGTTTCTGCGCAAACACAAGAAGCACATGAAGGTGTACATATCCATCCATGCCTATGCACAGATGCTGCTTTACCCGTACTCCTACAAGTATGCTAGGATTCCCAACTTTAACTGTGTGGTAAGAACCCCTCCCCCCCATTTTACAACATGTTGTGAAGTTTTAGCAGAGGATTATTAATATATTGAATAAATAGTACCTTAAGTTATAGCTAATTGATAAGTCATTCAAATTGAGGGCAAAACCAGTTAATGATTGGTCTTAGCTGACCTGAGCAGTTTCTTTCACACCCTTACCGTATTCCCTGCATGACTTAGAGAAAACTGCAAACAGGATTTATTGTAGAGGCAGATGTCACTTGGTGTGTCTGTAGAAGTTTCCCCATAAGCTGTTTGCTGTTTTCTCTGACATTCATGGTGGTTTCTCTCTAACGATCTCTAAAAAATATCTCATGCTACGTTCAGACCGCAAGCAAAAAAAGGCAGCAAGAGCAGCTATTTTGCATGCAAAGTCAATGGTTGAGACACATCAAATGATCCTGCAGCGCGTTTTGAGCAGCGGAAGCAGTGCTTTGTGAGCGTTTGAGCATCTGACGCGCTGCAAACGCAGCTGCTGCTCAAGTTGGAAAAATTTAGCATTTGCTGCTCGACGCGCCACATCAACCAATCAGAGAAGGTGATCTGGAGCTGGCAGGGAGAGAGACACGGAACTGCTGATGATAAAGATACATACTCAACTGAAGCAGTTTATTAAAGTCTAAATTAAGTTAAAATGCTGAAATCTGCTGGCAAAATATGTTCGCTTTTAATATCCTGGTGCCTGCAGTTTGGATTATGTACATGAAAACCGCCTTCCAGCCGCCGCTGCAAACCACAAAGAGGCGACCTGGCCAGAGGCTGCTGTTGAACGGGATTCCCAGTGACAGCGCACCGACAGTATGTGGGGGTCTGAGCGGCTCCAACAGAAATAATATTGGAAGGCAGGATGGTAATCCTGATGAACTGACTGCACAGATTAAGTTTTCAGGTGGACTTTCTCACTTGAAAAACTAAAATTAAATAATATTAAAACTACTTTTTACCCACTAAACATAGCAAATATAGCTGCCATTGTTACAGACAAAGAAAGGATAGAGTAGCTCCGTCCAACGCGCATCAGACCCACTTTTTCACCGCGCAGCTGGAGCAGCAAAGATGCTTCAGCCGCGCGTCAGAAATTATCTGCACAAGCATCAAAAATGAAGCAGCACGTCATTTTTGCTGCTCTTGCAGCTTGCGGTGTTAACGTAGCATAAGGCTAAAAAAAAAAAAAGCTCAACCCAAATTAATTTCATGTAAGTAGACTGTGTTTACTGATTATATGACTTCTAAAGGCAGTATTTTGCACCTTACTATTTATGTCCAATAATTCATTACTAAATATTTGATAAGAAACCTGGAAAACCATCAATAATCGTTCTTCCACCTCACATTTACAAGAAAATACATGTTTCTGAATCTATAAATACAGACCAGAGGTGACATCACTTCATGAATTTTTCTTTTTCAGGAGTCAGCAGCTCAGAATGCAGTGACAGCATTATATTCTGCTTATGGGGTTAGGTACAGATATGGACCTGCCTCCACAACTTTGTGTGAGCCCCCCCCCTTTTTCTTCCCACCATTAATTTAATGTTTTTCTCTTTAAGAAGTAGTATCAGTGGATTACAACAATAAAAGAAATGTTTGATTCTATTAATCATTTTTACAACTATGCAGTTATTGTTGTTTCAGTAATTGTCTTCATTTTCCTGACTTGCAGATGTTAGCTCTGGCAGCTCTATTGACTGGGCCTACAAAAACGGGATTCCCTATGCCTTTGCATTTGAACTAAGGGATACAGGACATTTCGGTTTCCTCCTGCCCGAATCATTGATCAAGCCCACCTGCACTGAGACCTTAAGAGCCGTGAAAACCATTGCGTCGGGTCTGCTGAAGAAGTGCAAGACAGAGAAGACCAGATTTCCAGATATATGAAGACTTTGTTGAATTTTAGATCCTTCCTACCAGTTTTTAGGTGAAGAACTCAAAATGACATTCAACCAAATAATATCAATGATTAGATTTTGATTTTTCTTTGAAGGAGCAGCCTCCTTTTGCCAGCATAAAATTATTTTCTGCAAACAGTAAGGATGGAAGCACTTGATGGGCTATGTTAGCACTTTAAACATAAAATAAAGACAACAATTTTATATTCAAGCAATTAACCAGTCTGATAATTATATTTGACTATGCATGTAATATACCACTTTTTGAAACCATATGAGGACTTTGATGTGACTGCCATTTATTTAAGCCATTACTAGCATATTCCTAACCCTGACTTTAACTTCCATGTAATTCATGCCTCTAAATCTAACCATTAACCATAAATGTACTATAAGCTAAAGCTTATAAAGCTTAGCTTTTGCAAAAGCATTTTTGCAACTTTTCTAAATTGTTTGTCAATAACTGATTAATTATGCCGTTAGCAAAGTGTTTCATTAGACTGCATGGCTGGCCCAGCTTATAAACAAGAGACTAGATAACGATGCAGAGAGATGGCGTGTGATGCCATAACATACTCCAACTAAAAAGACAACTTTAGTGTTTCTTTGGTTCTATTTTTCTGAAATAATTAGTTCATGTTTATCACTTCTTAAAAAATGACGATCCACCACATTTAGGGTGGAATTTAGCCTTCATTAGACCTGTCAGTCTTCACAAGGTTATTAGATAAAAAAGGTACAACCAAAAACATTGGAATATTGCATAAAAGTGCCATACTTCTTACCATAAGGTGAAACTCATATGCACAATCGTAACACAGAGTAATATGTTCTAAGCCTTTGTTTTTATTTAGATTTTTATGAAAACATAATATGCATTTAATGTTAAACCAGTGAAGGTTTTAGTTGAGTTTGAAAAGCAGCCACCTACCAGGAAATGCTATATACTTCTTTCTGCTGATTACCTTTATGGAGAAGATGCTGATTTCCTTTTCCAGCAAGACTTGACACCTGCCAAAACTGCCAAAAGTACCAAGGTCTAGTTCAGTGACCATTGGTGTTCCTGCTCTTGGCTGATCAGCACACTTCCTCTGACACGAAGCCCATAGTAAATGTATTGGCCTTTTATTAAAAGCAAGATAAGAGACACCAGACCCAATATTGCAAATACATTGACCTAATACCACAGCCTGATCACCTCTAATCCACAGCTCATTCATGCAAGAGGAGGCCCAACCAAGGATTGAATGTGTCAAAATTGACATACTTTTCATAAGCCTGAAATTTGTGCATAAAACATTCAGATTAACCCATTGGTGCAATGAAAGACAATGAGAAAGATTTTCCCATGTTTTACATTTTATCTCTTAGATTTAAGTTTAACTTAATTTTTTTTGTTTGAGGCACTTTATTTTATTATTTATTTTTATTTGGTAAAGGCATAAACCATTTCTTTACAGAATTTCATAAATTGTTTACATTTTCCTTTCCCAAAGGTGTTGATTTATAAATAAAAACAAAACAAATTACAGAAGCCAAGACAAATACAAATACATAATTAAGAAAAAAAAATTCAAAAATTTAGAGAGAACACTTGAATATGTCAATCCATACACGTTCTGTATTCCTATCCATTCCAAAGATGAAAAAGTTCCAGAGCAGTTAAGGTTTTTCTATCTCCATAACTACAGGTGCCCATGTCTCTTGAAACAATTTATCTCGAAACTGTAATTTTGCTGTTATTTTTTTCCATTCCCATCACTTCCTTAACTCTTTCCCAACAAAGGTCGGTGCTCGGGGGTTGTGGCCTTAGCCAGTAGATTGTTATTATTTTCTTTGCTATTATAATCAGTATTTGAATAATTTTCTTTTTCTATTTAACAATGTATTGGGTAAAATGCTCAGCAGGAATGCTTGTAAATCTAGGTTAAATTTTTCTTTGCAAATAGTTTCAATATTTTTCCTTACATCCTTCCAATATTCTTTAATTTTGGGACAATCCCAGAATATATGTTTGTAGTCTCCTTTCTGGCCACAGCCGCTCCAATGTTTGAGGCACCTTAAGGTAGGGTGCAGTATGAGCAGTAAACTATAAACTGCATGTTATATTACTTAATATTATTTATTTTTTTATTTATTAAATTATTTGCAGGATTTAATTAAAATATTTAATTTGGCGTATTTAATAGATACACAAGAGCAAACAGTTTTGACACAAGCACATGTCTTTATTGATACTTATACATGAGGTGCACTTTAAACTGTAATCAGTAGATGCTGGCATTTGATGTCTTGACTTCTATTAGTTGCTGGATCCCTGCCTTTTCTGTTAGGCTTTAAGAAATACTTAATAGAAGTACTCAATGGTGTCGTTGTGGGACTTGGAGAGCTGCAGGGAGCTCAGCTCAATGTCTCCTCCATAAGCTGGGAGTTTTTCATAAACACGAAGATGAATATAATCATCTCCACCAACATGGACCTGAAAGGACACCAAAGGCCAGGATAAATAGCATATTTTCATTTGTGCTACTTTGTTGTGCTTTGAAATGTTAGAAACAACACCGAAATACAATAAGCTTTAAACATAAAAATGGTGAAAAGTAGTTTTAGGGGTCCAACTACTTCATCATCAACTCCTTAATCATAAAATAAAAATCAAAGAAAGGGAAGGTGTAAATAGGAAGCAAAGTTATTCAATTCAGATATAGAGGTTAAACTTTTTAACCCCTTATAAAGATAATATTACCTTAATGAAGTAGTTTGTCCCAGCAACCGGCTGAGTCTTGTAACTTGTGGCGTTAAAAACCTCATAGTTCGCCCCTGTTTTCAATTCAACACTAGGCTTCAGCTGAGGAATAATGGAGAACAACATAAATGTAAGACATTTCAGGTTCTCTTGCCCAAATTGGTGTGGCACTAATCATATATAAATACTTACTTTGTCAACAATCTGCTGAACCTTTTCATCAGCAGGATATGTCTCCTCTGATGTTCGACCACAGCATTCTCCGTGGACAGCCCTCGTGGCGTAGAGGCAGAAAAAAAGCAACAGAGGTGCAGTAAACCACTTCATGTTTGTGATCTGGAGAGGAATTCAGCTGGACCACTGACTTTTATTCCCTTTTTATGGACTGTACCATTTACTTCAACAGAAAGGGGTGGAGAGTCATGTTATTTTTTTAAGCTTTCTTAAGAAAACAACTCTATTTAAATAACAAAAAAAAAATAATTTATCTTTACATTTTCAAACACATGATGTCAATAACTTTATTTATCCAAAAGTCACTATTTTCCCTTTTTAATCACGTGTGCTTTACATGTGCGGAGTTCAACTGACTGATCTACACCAGGGTTTTTTTTTACTGTTTACCATTATAAAGGTTAGCGTCCAGCAGATATGACTGGAAAAGGTATCAATGTTTAAGCATTGCACAATTAACAGAAAAGGGTTTTTTCGGAACTCATTGATGTGCAAAGAGGCCCTTATTAAACTATCAATAGGTAAAAAACATGTTGAAACTATTCCCTGCATCAAACTTCCATCTTGTGCCAAAATAATATGACCACTTTGCCTGTTTTCTGCACTGCACCTGCTGCAGGACCTGAGCTGAAGGAAAGTGACTGTAAATAAAAAGAAGATCCTGCGAGAACCTCAAATACTAAAATGTATTTGTATTTACAAGAATACTACATGTATTATCAACATATTTTCATATTATTACCTCATTGTTATACACATGAGAACATCACTAGAAGGCAGTGATATCTGTTGTAGTTCTTAACTTGACTAGGGACACGAAAGCTGATCAAAATTCTGGTCAACAATCTTCAACATAAGCTTAATTCAATAGAGCTGCTATAAAGTTGTTGCTTGAAGCTAAATCTCATGTGCTGGAACATATCTGACTTAAACAAATGGATCAATCACAGGGTGGTTCAAAGGTTGATGACATGTTGAAAAGTTAATTGAACTTTTTAAGCATCTGTGTAAAGCAGAAAAAAAAAAACATCCAACACCTCCAAAAGAGCTGACCTTAGTTCTACACTCCTGGATTGGATCAAGCATATTCACTTTTTAGAATAAACCAGTCAAAGTTAAGACTTGAACTTCACTAATGAATTAAATTTGCAAGTTTTCATCAAAATGTCTTGCTTATGTCTGGTTTCTTTCCATATTTTGAAACCAATTGGTGTTTAACTAGTGTCCAAATTGTATTCGTAGATTCAAAATACACTGAAACGTAATCTGTTTGTCATGATGTGTTTTAAAGGTCTGACCCAAAAATGCAGAGAAACACTCAGAGAACCAGGAAAAAGATTTAACAGGTTTATTGGGATGAGGGTAGAGGGGAAGTGTGATCTGGAACTCAGGTAGCTGGTGAACAGGAACTTGGATGTCTGGAGGGGATATCACAACGGTTAATTCAGGAACCGTGGGAATCTTGAATGCAGTAGGGAAAATGCTAGTGAGGGACTCACATTAGGGGGGTTCTTCTCTCACTAGCATCCAGCCTGTGTGGGTTGATCAGAGAGGAGGGAACATTTTGAAGAGTGGACAGGTAGACATTCTTTCGAACCGGAGGAGCACTGGAGCAGACTGTCACTTGGATTTCCGTTAGGGACTTGAACGGCACATGTGGAGATTTCTCCCCCGCTCAGTGTGAACTCAGCAAACAATCCTTCCAAGGGAAGAAGGCCAAACATCCAGTATGCTGGAGGACTTCCTACCACAGGCAAAAACAAAAAGCAAGGTTAGACTCAGAGAGACAAAGACCCAGTTTGACTCAGTGAAACAAAGACTCAGGTTAGACTCTGCTATTCTAAGCATGGCTAGAGTACCCAAAACACTCTGGCGTCGAGGTAGTGACAGTCCACTGCTTAAGTACTCCTCCAGATAATGATCCAAAGAGCTGATGGGTGTGCAGGGAGGACCAACAAGGACAGGGCCCCACCTGGTGGTGGAGGGAGAGACAGACACAAAACATACCACACAAACTGGATTCCTGACACTGTTGTTGTGTCAAGGCTTTTAGAATTGCCTATCAGGAGTGTTCTTCAGATAATAAGGTAAAAAAAATAGCATGAAAGCATGAGAGAAGGAGGTATATTTTTTATACAGGATGTGAACTATATAAAGAGGTTCAAATAAAGCCAAAAGAAGACACAGTTTTCTCTTCAGAGCCATTCATGGGGACATTTATTCATCATGCCATTGTTGGGACCAGCTAAGCTAACCCATTTATCTTTCAGCCTCATCACAGTTTAATGCATTCCTGAGTCATTATTAATTTTTCACCATGAAACCAAATGAAACTGCACTGTTTTGACTGCTTTTAACATCTGTGCGTCAGAGTTTCTTCACACTTATATGGTGCTATTTTAAAGGAATCTTTCTATGTAAACATTCCTCAGGGACTTTTGCAGACTTTGAGGGGAATTTAAACCCCTCTTCCCCTTTCATTTATTTATTTGTGCTTATTTTCAGTAGTGTTTACTGCATGCGTAGTTATTAGCTATAATAATACTTTATGATTATTAGTAAATAAAGGCACCATTGTATTTTAACCCGTGGTCTTGTGTTTATTTTACGCCATGAATAGTTTATCGCTCAGGCTGGATTCACTCTTCTTTCAGAAGAATTAGAATGAACAGAGTCAGATATATTTAGTTGGTGATTTTTAATTTTGCTGATAGCCATAGTCTAAATTACTAAACTGGTGAAAGACAACTGAATTTAAACAGAATTTGCTTATAACAGTAAGCAAATGACGGTTATAATCATTCAACTGATAATGATTAATTAGGTTTACCCTTGATTTGAATGACATGTTAATTAACTAAAATTTGCAGTTCTAGTTATTTTATATATTCACAATCTTCTGGTAAACTTGCAAAACACAATTTATACAACCCTGCGCACAGTTAAAGCAACATAAAAATCCCAAATGTTCTAAAGTTTAAATCCTAAAGAGGACGCATATTCATAAAAAGTAATATCATTGATGTGTTATGTGTGTATCGATACAACTCCACCCTCATCTTGTGATTTTTGGTAATCTCTTGGCTCAAACCTCATACTTCCCAAAAATTTTTGTTTAGATGGATACCACGAGGTCACATACACTCGTCTGCTTGGCCAGGACAAACTGAACAGAGCAAATATTCTTTCCTGATGAACTTAACGTTTACTTTTCTAAACTGTACTTTGAACAGGCTTCTATGTTGATCATAAAACTTTGCTATTTTCATATGCTAGTACTTTTTTTTCTACAATTTTACTGGTCTTTCGCTTATCTATAGCTCATATTTGTTTCCTAAACTTTCCATTCCTGTTATGTTTCTGGCCTGTCAACTAGTATTTTCATTCCCCTCCCCCTTCTGCTCTGTGCTGCCNAAGCAACCAAAGTTTTCTGGAACCAAGACAACCCACCTGGATATTAAGAAAGGTTAGTGGCTTATCAGTCTGAACCTAAAATCATCAATTTCAGCCACTAACCTGTTCTCTCCCCTCCAGAGGCTTTGGCTCCCCTGATCCTGAAAAACCTGCATTATTCCCTCAATAAATCTTTTAAAGTTATTTCCTGTTGTGTTCTGGTTGTTTCTGGGTCCTCAGTCTGAATCTTAACAATTCCACTGTTAACAGGAAGATTTCTGAGCAGATGAACTGTGCCCTAAAAGCCAATCAGCTGTCTGTTAGTAAAGCAGCTATTACTTAAACTTACCTGCATGACTGAGAGAGGTAAAATGTGACGGGTAGAAATTCTGTCACTTTAAAAAAGGTTTGAAAGCATAAATAAACTGAATATTATTATTATTGTTTAAAAAAGTATTAGTAAAGCAATGTCTGTTTGTTCCTCTATTCCATAATTGGAGTATAAATCAAAATGAATAAAAATCCTTCCACTCCTATCATGGTATACTCAGGGTCATTGGTCACAAACATTACTTATAATGAAATCTCAGAATTATTCTCCCATCAAGGGAGGTAAGTGTGTTTGATTTTTAAACTTCACGTTTTTAAACAATTGATATAATCTTATTAAAGTAATTGTTGCTGCAAATGTGACAAAATATCTTCTTTGTCAGCTCAACAGCAAACTAAGCAATAATTTAGCTTTAGACTAACGGTTGCCCTTACAGTGGAGTACTTGCCTTTTTCAGTAAAGGCCCCAAACTTTGAATTCCGATGAAAACTTTCCACTTTTCTTTTATAATAAAGGTAGTGTGAACTCAAGTCAACTCTTAGTTAGTCGTTCTGTACAAGCCTGTTAATGATACATTCATTTATTTCAGGTGTACAATTGGCCTTAGACAGCATTAATCTAATACATTGTAGCTTTTGCCCAGAATTTCAATCAATTTGCGTTATATCTTGATAAGATATCTCAAATGTTATTACCAATCTTACTTGGATAAAATGTTTGACTACCCACTGTGGGTAACTTCACTGAATAATGAACTAGCTTGTTTTAAACGAAAGGGTTTCAGACAAAGACACACACAATGTTGTTGTTGTTGTTGTTTTTTTAATGAGTGCACTTTTTAATCCAAGCTTACTTAATACCTGGAAGTCAGGTTGATATACAATATGGAATAGATACTGTCACTGGGGCTACTTTTATGCTATTCTAAGATGTATACATCACCTACTACAGGGACTAGTTTAATAAGTTTTATGTGGAAAAAAAATTTTGATTTGAAAAAGAGTTTGTTTGCCTGGCTTTGCTATGAATTATTATCAGTTACTAATTATTTGTTTAAATTATTTTATTATAGTGTTTAACTTGCCCAAATTTGCACACAAATTTAGATTTTGGTCTGTCTTATAGCATAATATGAAATACCAACTGTGGTTAAAATATTACAAAATATAATAAAATAATCCGTTTTTGTTTTTTATGTACAGGTTGAGAGAGATCAGTTAGTAAAAACAGTTCCTTGTCAGCAGTTTTGAGTGCTGCTCTAAGGACAATGCTTTGTCAAAAATAACACCTAGGTTTCTAAGGCTTGGTTTACTCAAATCGCCCAGATTCTGGTGGATACCTGGAATAGCGTCATCAGAGGCAATCACCAGCATCTCTGTTTTATCTGAGTTTAGTTGCGGGG